GCTCGTTGTTGGTGGCGTAAGCATGCGCACTGTAGGCATTTTGCGTGCAGTCGAGCTCTCCTATTGGCTTGACTTGGTTCGAACGACTTGATGCCAATTATGATCATATTAGGTTTCTGTCACTTGCATTTTCCAAAAACCCGGAGTTTTCTCCATCAAATCTCAAAACTCCCTTGAAGTAGTGATATGACTTTCCTCTGGATCCCATGATACTGCAACCTAACGCTCTGATACCACTCCTTGGGAAAATTACTACCCAACTTATAGAAACTCCAACAATAGAATCTTAAAAATACATAAATGAAACATCTCACCAATACTCACAAGAATTGGTTGCCTACTGCTCTACCGCCTCTCAAAGTAATTGTGCAACCACCAATCTTTTTGGTGTCACGGCCAAAACCTAGAAAACTTAACAACAAATATACAAATGGTGGTCCATGACCTTTTGGCCCATTTACTTTCCTTGTTTTGGCTCTAATAATTTGTCTGTAACACAAACAACCCTTCAAAACAACATCAAACAATATCTAATTCCTATTCTAAAAAAATTCAGTAAACAATACCAAAGTAATCTGATTTCATTTTGATTCCTTCCTATTCTGATTCATTATAAGTTAAGAGAGGAAGTTGAGACGAGTAGTGTACGGCGATAGGAAGGATGGGTGATATAAATTCACATCAAAGGAAAAAGATAGATGCTCTAAAATGAATTATTTCACTACCAAAATATTAGCAATTCAATAGATCCCCTTTCACTTCAATTTAATTGATAAAAAACTCCCTTAATAGAATACATAAAGTCTCATTACGTATTATTCAACCTTAATTGAAAATATCATATCTATTTAGTAATGTTCTCATTACTTGTTTCTGGTTTTCAATTCTAATTTTTTAAGAAATATTAAAATTTAGTAATTATTCATGTTTCTCATTTCTCATTTTTAAGAACATTTTCAAAACTATGTAGAAATTTTAGAGACAACAAAGAAAAATTTCTTTTTTCTTATTCTCGTTTCCAGATTTTTCCTACACAAATAAAAATACTATTTTATCATTATTAACTTATAAAATACATAATAAATATTAGATAAAATTTTGAATATTTAATTTAAAAAAGATCATTTTCATTAAAAAAATTTACATTTTTAATTCAAAGTTTTTTAGACCGAGAAACAAAACATAACTACCAAACATATTTCTGTTTCCTTTTCAATAAAAGAAAAAAAAACAATTACCAAATCTAATTCTACTTCTATTTATTAAAAAAGAGGGAACAAAAAACAAAACTTAGAAATGAGAATGTTACTAAACCGGCCATCATATTTTATCGATCCACACTGGTATAATGGTTACGAGATGAAGCATGAAGATGAGGCAGATGGGCTTCATTGGAAAATACTAGAAAATATTCTCATACTATGGGCTGACAGTTTTATTCTCAGCTTAAAAAAAAAAAGAAAAAAAAAGTGATCTTTGAAGAGTACTTTTAAGATGACAGAGTAAGTTGAGGTGTTGCAGCTCTTGGTTGATTCCAATTCCCATCAAGTTGAAGAGAGTGCAGATTTTAAGGATTTGGTGAAGTTTTCAAGCTCCTTCAATCCTTCCTCTGAAGATTGGGCTTCACCCAACAGCTTCACCATAGCACTACCAACAATGATCCCATCTGCCCCCCACCCAGCCACCTATGAACACACCACCAACACATTAAATAGATTGCACAATGAATTCTATGTTTTGGTATGTGATGTGAAAAAATTTTGTTACCTGTTTCACGTGCTCCGGTTTCGATATACCGAACCCAACTGCTACTGGTTTCTTCGTGACCTGTCGTGTGATGATTGTGAGGCCTCAATGTTATTCATCAGTTTCATATCAATGCCTTTTCAAAAGCCATCATATTTTGAAGTGAAAGTACATCATAGATAAGCAGACATACCTCTTTAATTTCCCTCAGGAGAGCTTGAACTCTACCACTCACCGATGTGCGAGCACCGGTAACTCCAACTGAGCTCACCTACAATGAAACAAGACAAATTTCCTATTGCTAGTCAATTTGACAACGAAACACTAGTTCGATAATTGTATTTTTGTCAAAGTCCTTGCACTGTCTATGCTATCTATAATTCTGTTTATGCATGAACACAAAACCACAAAAACAATGTGCTCTCACAAAACGGAAGACACTTGGTAACATAAAAGGTCTTACGAGATATACAAATCCCTCTGAAGCTTCAACGATGTCTTTCATCCTATCTTTAGGCGTGGTTGGTGTAGTTAACAGTACCTTTAGCAATGTAAAATAATAATATAAATGCATAAGAACAAGCAAATCAACTCGGCCTTCTCTTTACGAATTCGTTAACAAATCATCATCACACAAATGAGTAAGGTTTAAAGATTAATGAGGTAAATATTGTAACAATAATGCATCAATGAATTGGCCATTCATTTCCTCTATAGGTTGTTAGTATTTATTTATTATTATTATTTTTTTTTATAATTGAGAGTCGGAGTTTTACTCCAGTATACTCAGAATCACCCGCGCCCGTCCCAAGATCTGAACCCAAGAGACATCAAAGATTTTTTGTATTAATCTTACAGGAAAGTTTGAACTTGAGATCTCTAAACTAGTATGACTAAGAGACCTCAAGTCCGTCCAATAAGTTGTTAGTATTAACAATAAATAAATTTTGTGATCAGGCAAACTCATTGTCATATCCACACCTGAATAATTTTTACCTTCAGGTTCAGCCAATTAATAAAACTAATATTTAGCACTGCCAATGGAGAGTATTGGACTTTTATCCTCTAGATTGTATCCAGAGGTCCTTTACCATTGTGTCCAATAAATAATAACAAATAAAATATCAAAACATAAAAACTAGTAAATGATTTAGATAATCTACGCAGCCATTATGAGACAAAGAAATCACCAGTTCAATATTGTACTTTACAGCTTCCTTTCTTAAAATTTCAGTCTCCTCAAAAGGAACATCTGGAACAATAAGCCCTGCAAGAAAGTGCAATGTGACCACAAACATATTCACACATTTTTCCATGGAACTTTGTAAACCAAGAAAAAGTTAAGATTATTGTACATAAAATGTAACAATATATTGAAACTCTATGCGATACTCGATATAGCTCTAAATGCAATATCCCCATTCTAGAAAGAATGTAAACATCACCCCACCCACTAAATGTTAGGAGTAATGACATTCTTTTCAACTGTTAAATTATAGACCCTTGAATATCATCATGTAGTTGATTTTTTGTAGTTAGACGATCAATAGTGAAACAAAACACATATAACTTTCCAACATTGAATTCTATGTCCTTGAAGTTAATCAAACAATTTAATCCAATTCATTATAAAAAGATTTGGTGACCTCGTTAATTACCTCGTACACCAGCATCTTTTATTGTCATCATGAAGTTCTCAATGCCACGTTTAAGAATTGGGTTATAATATGAAAAAAGAGAAACTGGACAAGATAGCTCAGGAATCACCTGACCAGCCAGAAAAAATACAAAAACACTTTTAGCTGTCAGTTTCATGAATGAGATATAAAGGACAGTGGACCTGGCATACAGAACTGGGAACATATTTCCATAGACATTTGATTTGAAGATGCTATGTGTGCAAAAATAAATTGTAACTCCAAGTTTCCTAACAAGTTGAGCACAAATTTGACAGCCTGATGAATAAACGCAGCATCATCTAGGTGCTTTCATTACCATATATTAATTCTAGTTTGCATAATAACAAATTTGCAATACCTTAAGTTGTTAGCTAATGAAATAAGTTTAGGTTATTCTTTCTTTCTAGTTTGCATGGTACAACAAGATTACCCCCTTCAGCATAGAAATGATTGCATTAAAGTTTGTCTGCCTAGCCAAGGACCGAGTATATGCAGCCTACAGAAAAACATTCATACACAGCTGAATAAGGAACAATAAATTTAGAATGGAGAAATGAAAGGGCCAAAAAAGTAAAAAAGTAACCTGTATAACAGGACCATCTGCCAAGGGATCCGAATATGGAACACCAAGTTCAATTATATCTGATCCACAGTTGGAAAGCACCTTCAATGCTTCTGCTGTGGTCGACAGATCAGGATCACCAGCAGTGATGTAGGGGATCAATGCGACCTTTAAAACATGCATGCATTTAGGACAATGTTGATCAATGAAAAATCCCGTCATACCACAAACTAACATACTAACAAATAAATTTGATCTATAGATTTTTAGGTTGTGTCTATTTACTCCCTGTTGTATTTTGTTGAGAATCCATATAAATGAATTAAATTTATCCAAACCATTAGCTTAAGCTTTTGGGTTGAGTGGTGGTTTATTAATCTTTAAGATGTTACCAGAGCCCAAAAGGCTCAAACGAGCATCCGGTCCAAAAAAAGGGGATCCGGCCAAGATCGATAAGCCAAAAGAGCCACGGTCTTGAGGGGCATGTTAAGGATCCCACATTGATAAAAGAAGGGACCTTACATAGGTTTATAATACACATGGGTTACTCCTCATTGCCAATTGGTTTTGAGATGGAACCCCATGAATATTAATATATCTTAAAAAAAGTTTCTAACAGATCATAGAACTTTTAAGCCTGTGTCTATTTGATCCACTTCAAAACGTTTCTAAGTAGGTCTCTAAACTTTCAATCTCGTGTCTCATATGTTTCTACAATTAATTTCATCAATGTGACATGCTGATTGCAGTATTACATGGCAGACTCATTTCGAGCGGGTTCAAACATTGGTTGACGTAAGCGTTAAATTGATAAAGACAATAGAGACTTATTAGATACATAATTGAAAGTTAGAGACCTATAGGAATCTTTTAAAAGCATAGAGGTTAAATAAACATAACTTTAAAAGTTTTTAAAGCACAAGACTAAACAGACAACCTGAAAGTTCAAAATTTAAGGTGAAAGAACTTACATCAGGTATCCAATTAGACTATTTAACCAAGTAAAGGACATGGATGAATAAGAATCCAGTTGAAGCATGGGCTATTTCTCAGACATTTAATTCAACCAAGGAAACTGAAAATGAAACAGAAGTATAATTCAACCAAAACAAGGACAAATTCAAACAAACAACCCAGATAAGATATGTCACAACAGAAGGAGCAGAGTACAAAAAATGAAATTAGAGACATTTACCTTGCCCTGTTCTCTCAACTTGTTGAATGTTTCAGACAGTCCAACGGCAGGGGAGGCTGCAGTAAGGGCAGCCATTGGAGCCAAGCGCTTGGATTGCGAGACTGAAATCGTACAAGGATTTGGAGGGAAGATGAGCCTAGAGGGCATCTTGTTGAGGGGAAGTAACTTCGAAGATTTGAAAGCAAGGTCCATTGGGTAAAGAGGGTTTTGGTGGAATTTCGGATTGTCAAATCAAATGGGCTTCTCCTCCCCCAATTTAAAGAATAAACTATAGCAGCTGGGTTTTGTTTTGATTTACAACGGCCGCAGTTATCGAACCAAAATAAACATACAGCGATTGGACAATCAATGTGGTGTTCTGGTTTCTTGAGGGGTTTACATAAACAAGAGGCGAAAAATTGGCGGCTAAATGCTTTGATGCGATGAATTTTTGTTAGTTCAGTTGTGGTTTTGGTTTGATTAACTGCAACAAATCCTTACTTATAATAGCATTTATGCAAACAAAAACCTGTAAAATTAAATAGTATGAAAAGCGCGGAAACTGTTAGCTTATGGATGCGTTCGAAGAGATTTAGAGCCTCTTTGCTTCAAAGACTGAGAGTCAGGACTGAATTTTCTATCAGGAACCAAAGAAAAATTAGAAACAAGGATTTGAATCTCACATTCAGAGCTCCAATTTGGTCGCTGGAGGAAGAATCATGGTTTCAGTAAGATTCAATTTCCACGCCATTTTTGGGTTGATTTACCATTTGTGCTCTGCTCACTTTCATTCCAGAGTTGTCATCTTCGTCCACATGTTAGAGGGAAATATAGGAAATCCACGTATTTAACTCAAAATAGTTTTCTATTCGCTCAAATGACCTGTAATTCAAAATTTATCCAATTTAACTTTTTCTAACGTGATAGAGAGTAGGTAAAGGCAAACATGCCCCTCATTTATACCGGAAAAAGTTTGGGAAATTGACAAAAATAACCCTCTAACGCTCAAATGATCCCCTTAACTGTGTCCAAATGACTCACTTTAATATTTAATTGAATTTAAATTGAAATGAAATTACAGTAGTACCCCTCAATTCAAAAAAGAAACTATTCGAGATTTCTTCTTCGTTCTCCCATCGTTAATTCCTCTTACAAGAAAGTTAAAATTAAGATTAAAACTTTGAGGTAAGTTCGATTTCTGTTAACGTATATAGTGGGCGATCAATTTTGAAGATTAGGACTTGGTTTTTAATTGCATCTGAGCAGTTAATGGTCTTTTTTTCCGTCGATTCTGTTTTTCGATGCTTAGATGAAGAAGTGCGTGAATGATATTGCATCAATTTAGTTTTCCATTGATTTGAATTTCATTTTTGAGAAAGGAAATCTACTTTGTTTATTTGTTCTTGATTTTTTTGCTTTCTTTGTGGTTCTTGTGTGTTGTGGTGGTGGTGTAATGTTTGTTGAAATGTCGGAGGTTGAAGAAGACTGAACTCGGGCGAAGTGGGAGTAACCTCGAGCGTGGTTTAGGATTTAGGAAGGTTTTGGACGCTCTGGAAAATTTCCCGGGACAACCTTGGTCGAGTTTGAGCCCGAGGTATTCGAAACATGTTCAACCTCGAGCTCAACCTCAAGGTAACCGCGAGGTTGAGCCCGAGGTATTTGAAGAGGTTGAGCCTCGAGGCTCAACCTCGAGGTTCATCCTCTTCCGAATACCTCGGGCTCGACCTCGCTCGAGGTCGAACCCAAGAAAAATAACAAAGAGCACAAACCCTCGAATGACTTTCAAATACCTCGCTCGATGTTTCTAAGCCTATGTTGAATTTCTCGGGCTCAACCTTGGGCGAGATAGCACCGTGAAATTTTCCAGAGGGTTAGAAACCTCGAGCAAGATTTGGAATTTCTTCCAAACATCGCGTCAGGTTGTGTGTCTTTGAATTCCCTCGGGCCAACCTCGCCCGAGGTTGAGCCCGAGAAATTGGACAGAGGCTTAGAAACCTCGAGCCAGGTTTGGAATTTCTTCAACCTCGCACGAGATCCATCCCACTTCGCCTGAGTTCACCCTTATTCTTCAACCTTCCACCACAAATATTTCTCAAACAAACCTCACACATAGAGACCACATAACTCAATTTCACAGAAAATACACTAAAGAACCAAAAACAATGAACGAAACAAAGAGTAAACAGTCTTCTTATTTTTCGAAAAATGAAATACACGAGAAACGAAACCTAAATCGATGCAATGTATTCATGTTTTCGTTCATCCAAAAAAACACCAGAAAACGGAATCGACGAAAAAACCTAACATTCAACTACTTAACAACAATGAAAAAAAAACCCTAACATTCGAATCAATGAAAAATAACAAAAATTAACAAAAATCGAACTTACCTAATGGAGAAGAAATTTGAAGGAAAAGACAAAGGGGCAAACGGTTTGATTTTTAAGCTGAGGGGTAATAGTGTAATTTTCTTTCAATTTAAATTCAATTAAATATTAAAGTGGGTCATTTGAGCACAATTAAAGGGTGGGTCATTTGAGCATTCCAAAAACTTTTCAAGGTTATTTGTATCAATTTCGAATGATATAGGTTGAAGCAATAAAAAACTCGGGCGTGATTGGTGTGTTGCCTGACCGAGTATTAATTATATTATCACTAACTTATTTATTACTCACCAAATTTTCGTACCGTTATTAATTACATTCATACTTATCATATACTTCTCATTAAGAGAACAAAATCTTGTTTGAATCTTTCTATTTTTTTTTTCACATCGTTCACTTTTTTTTTTTGCATGAACTTTCACACCTTTCCAAACAAATTACGTCTTCAACACTTGAAAGAAAGTCGGAAAATTGTGATATATGACCCCTCCCATAAATCATTTCAGATTTATGACCCATTTTTTAAAAAATATTTATGTGTGATTCGTTTCACTCTAATTTGTGATCCTTTTCCACTTTTTTATCTTTGTAAAATTATCAAAATGTCTGGTTTATTTTAAGTAAAATTATCCAACGATCTCTCCCGTTACACCTTTCAATTTCCTTTTAATTTGAATCTAATATGGAAAAAAAAGTTAACATTTTAATTAAGGAATCAATTAAGAACAACGACCGAATCCACAAAAAATCATCCAATAAGGAAACATAAACCACATAAATCCTCGGTGAAAAAAAGATTTGCATGATCCAAGAATAAATGCATAAGATTTATCCAGATTTAATTAAAAAAAGTATTCATAAATTCCGGGTTAATATTGCATTAAATGGTCGAGATTTAATTGACAATAAAGACAACAAGATCAGAGAGAAGGCAAAAAAAAACCTGGAATGGTGTGGATCCCGGATCGGGATAGAACAATCCCAGACCGGGATGGCATAATCCCAGACCAGGCTTGTACGGATACTGGCCCGATCCGGGATTATGCAATCCTGGTCCGGGTTTGTGCTATCCCAGATCGGGATCCACACCAGTCCAGTTTTTTTTTTCTTTCACTCTCGGATCTTAGCCCTTTTGTTGTCCATTAAATCTCGGACATTTAACACAATATCGACTCGAAATTTATGAAATCTTGATTTTTTTTGTAATTAAATTCAGACAAATTTATGTGATTATGTACTTTCGATTTTCCATATTAAACAATGGAATATTTAATATTCCATTTTGTAATTTCAACTTTTTTTTAATTGATTTTTTCTATAATTAAAATTTAATTAACTAGTTAGATTTTTTTCCATTCATAATTGATTTTTCAAATTAATAAAGATTGAAAATAGATTTGTTTCTTTTTTTAACAATGAAGAAGAGGGATTGTTAATTTAAAAACATGAGTGTACTATAGTAATTTTACATTTCAAAATTATAAAAGGGGTAAAAAAAAATAACAAGGGTGGGATTCACAAATTAGTTTTTTTTAAAAGGGAGTTATAAATCCAAAATGATTAATGGGATGAGTCATATATTCAAATTTCTCAATAAAACCATTTTGTCATCTTCAATATCTTCAACGAGGTTAGTTTGTTATTCGTTTAGAATATGATTTATATTCTTGGAGTCCAAAGTGAGTGTAAATTTTTTAACGTTGAGTTTTGGTTAGCTGAAAGTTCCCAAACTTGAAGAAACTCGGGCGTGTTTCTTCATCCCCCGGCCGTGGTTGTTAATTTTTTATTCGCGCCCATGTTCCTTCGTTACCCTGACGTGGTTTGAAACATATTGTACCCTTGCTTCCTCCTTACCCTGCCCGTGGTCTATTAAATTTTGTATTTAGCCTGGGTTTACTCGTTACCTTGGTCGTGGTTTATAAAATTCTTCCAACTTCCGTGCTCCAATGCTATTGTTGCGGCAACCCATCGGAATGTAAACAGGTATACTCTATACTCACTTGCATACAGCCTTTAAACTCTAATTACCGCATATGTTGAACCTGTGTACCCTCTCGAGGATGAAGAGGATTGGGTCCTACCTGATGACTTCGTCTATGTCAGAGTCGAGTCGCCCAAAATTGTTAACGTATTGGGCGATGTCAAACTGTATGAATCTTTTCAACTAGAGACCCGTCAAGTCCATAAATGCAGTCACTATGCCAACATGGGACATAACAGAAAAACATGCTACTAGCCACCTAGAAATACAAAGGGGAATAGTCTATATTTTCTTTTGCGAATTAGTGGGTATATCGGAATTTCTCACTTTTGGAAAATAACACGGTCGAGGTATATCTTAACATGCCCAGGGTGGATTTGGGTCATGGGAAATAACACGGCCGAAAATCGTGGTGACCCCAGTCAGGTTGATTTAATGAGAGCCGTTTCTAGGGAATAATCCAGCCGGGTTTTCCTGCGAACACGCTCGGGTGATACCTCATAAGTATTCTCTTCTTGGAGATACCATGGCTAAGGTTTGCTGTTAACATGCTCGGGGTGGTACATAATAATTATTCGCTTCTAGGAAATTAGGCGGTCGGGTTTATTACATTTCGATCTGGGTATGGTGATGGCATAATGAAAAATCCTCGTCAATGAAAGTTGTTTTTTTGGTTTATTTAAATTCACCCCAGTTGTGGTTTGTTCGAACACGCCCGTGGTTCCTCCTTCAATTTGACCTTCGTAAATCACTCCTTTTCAGGACTTTCTGGTCATTTCACAAGAGTTGTCAAGTCAGAAAAAGTTAAATTGGGTCAGAAAGGCAAAATTTTTAATTGTGGGTCATTTGAGCAAATGAAAAACTATTTCGGGTCAAATCTGTCAATTTCCTAGGAAATGTCGATAAAATATCAATTTTTTTTACAAAAGTTATACAAATAAAAAAATTCATATAAATTATTTAAATTAACAAATAAGTACTCCATCATTCCTAAATAAATTTAAAATAATTGATATTAGTATTATGTTTATATTAGTCCAATTTTGTTGATATTTTTTATATTTTTTTTGAAATGTGATCATATCGACAAATATTTAATACCATGCTTTTGGTTGAAAAGGTGGCATGGAAATCATTTGTTGCTCACAATTTCTTTGAATTATTTTCGGTTTCTATTCAAAAATACATTTCAATTCTCAGTTAATTTCAAAAACAAAAGTCATATTTTAAAACTCCTTTTACTTCGTTTCAAATTTAGTTCAGATTTTTAAAACATTTTTAAAATTGCTAAGATGAGAGTAGTGTTTATGAGCTTAATTTTAAAAAATAGAAAAGTAAAAACAAAATAGTTACTTTTCAAGAGAAGAAAAAACAAAATAGTTATTAAAGATTATATATATATATATATATATATATATATATATATATATATATTTGAAACAAGTTATTAAAGGGATATTAGTGCAAAATAGTCATAATGTTTCAAATAATTCTCAATTTGGTTTGCTTTAATTCTC